CGGGGGGACCGGAGCGGGGCTCGGGGACCGGAGCGGGGGGGGACCGGAGCGGGGCTCGGGGGCTGGGGGGACCGGAGCGGGGCTCGGGGACCGGAGCGGGGCTCGGGGACCGGAGCGGGGCTCGGGGACCGGAGCGGGGCTCGGGGGCTGGGAGCGCCCCGGGACTCCGCAGGGCCGGGGGCTGCGGCGGAAGCCTCGCGCATGCGCGCTGCCAAGCTCCGCTCGGTGGCCGCTCCCGCCCGGCAGGGGTCGCTGTCGGCCCGCGCGGCGCTGCCCGTGAGGGCGGCTCCGCCCGAGCAGCCCCGAGCCCCCCTCGAGCGTCCCCCGGCGCTCCCTCCGGCCATCCCCGAGCAGCCTCTCCCGGGCGCCCCTCGAGCGTCCCCGAGCACCGCCTGGGCACCCGCGGGGCACCACCAAGCGCACCCCGGGCACGCCCCGAGCAACCCTCAGCACCTTTATTCTGCCGCCCGGTCGGGCTGGGCGGGCGGCGGGGAGCGCTGCCCCGGCCGGGGTGCCCGTGCCGGCGTTGCCGAGCCGAGGTTCCCGGAGCGGGTTGTCCCAGGGATGGCGGTGCAGGGAGTGCCGGGTCGGGGGCTGCCTGGAGCAGGGGTGCCCGGTGATGGGAGTACCCGTGCCGTGTGTGCCCGCTGCTCCCGCCGCAGCTCAGCTTCAACCGGGGGCAGGCCGAGGGCTGGCGGGTCTTGAGCTGGGAATGGGATTCATGAACGGGGAAGCGGGATCAACGTCTCCGTCGGTAGAATCTTAATAAGCCTTAAAGGTTATTTCTGAGCGGTTCCAGTGACAATTCTTGGCCCTTCGTGTTGGCAGGGAGCTGTACCCCGGCCCGATCCATCCGGTACTGCCCGGGGCATGCTGCTGTGTTTGGGATGAGGAACAGCGACAGAAATACAGGCAGTGTGGGCATAGTCCACCGGGAGCGATAGCAATCGGGACTTGCAGGGCTTTGCATTCTGCGGTGCGAATGATCTCATTATCCTTGCCAGGGTCTCAGCCAGCTACTTGAAAAATACTTATTAAAAACCACAGCAGCTCTAGGGAGAGGGAACGAAGAGAGAACAAACTGGATGTGTAAAAACAGAAGGGGGAAACAGCCACAGTAGCAATAATGGGTCGGGACCTGCTCTGTCCTGCTGTCTTTCTAGTGGAGGCTGAAAGGCCATGACACATCCCAGAGTGCACATCAGTGTTTTGCCTCTGCTTTACTCCTCTAGCTACCACATGTTCCCATGAAAGCTCATAGTGGGGAGTGTTGGTGCATGAGGAGGCCCACCCAGCCCAGTCACCCGGAAGCCAAATGCTGACATTCCCACTGGTCAAACACCGGGTTGCCTGGCTCATCCTCTTGTCCTGCCCCGGCAGCGTCAGCCAGAGCAGGCCACCCAGGGCTGGTTGTGTTTAAACACTTCCCCCCCAGGGTCAGGTGGAAGGCACAGATGGGCACAGGAGTAGCCCCGCAGGTGTGCAGTGGTCCCTGGAGCTGCCTCCCACCCACTGCTGCTGCTAGTGTGTATTCACACCATCACGGCACCATTTCCCCTGCTGCTCCTGCCAACTGCATCTCAGGTTTTTGAATCTGTGGGTTAAGGACATACACATACTCTGTAGGAGCTGTCATGTGTTCCTCTAAGGAACCAAGAAATGGAAGTCACCAGAAAGTAGAAATTCTGATAGAAAATGGAAGGAACAAATGAAGTGAAAGCAGTGCTGCTCAGGTCTGGTCATAGGACACTAGGCATTGGTGGTTCTTGCAATTACAGTCACTAAGTTGCTGGAAGAGGGATAGCACCCCTGGACACACACATCAGCAGCTCTGGGGCCTTCTTCTGAGCCAGCAGTGATGGCAGCACTGTGTGGGAGGTCAATAAAAAGCAAGGGGGCTGAGGGGAGACAAAAAACAGAGGGAGCTGGGTAAATGGAAAGAGACTCTGGTGGTGGGGAGCACAGGGAGAACCTCCAAAGGGCAGGAGGTAATGGAGATAGAGATATGAAACAGAGAGGTCATCCCTTCCCTTCCCTTCCCTTCCCTTCCCTTCCCTTCCCTTCCCTTCCCTTCCCTTCCCTTCCCTTCCCTTCC